CAAGTGTACGACAATCGTAACTTGTTCAAGAAATAATTCCATAAATCCTAAAATCAGTTTTAAAATAATTAAAAGTGGTTATAAAGTTAAAAATGCACAATAGGCTTAAAATATGTAATAAATCAGATAATTAGACCAATTATTAATAGTTAAGCGACCGTGCTAGAACCACGAAACCCGGGAATGCCTAACACCTTCTCCCGGGTTAACAGAATTCCTTACCTAGTTTTCTGGTTTCGCAGACTTTTAAATAAAGTCGATTTTCCTCGATTTGAATTTAAAATAAACCGGTGACTTGGGACACCATAATAAATTATCCCAAGTGGCGACTCTAAATAAATAAAAATAATCTCACTTCGAATAATGTCACTTAAATTGGAAAAACTCCCTTATATCCGCCATCGGGTAAAAAGGAGGCGTGACAGCCTCGGCCGCCGGGGCTTACGCTCCGGACACGCCCAACGCCCGGCGTACTGGGCTCGCCTAATAAAACTTTATGTAATTGTGTGCGACTAACCTTGTAAATTCTCAAATTTCTTAACAAATCGTTGAATATTCAAAATTACTTTTTTCTTAATCATAAATCATTAAGTTGAGAATATTTTATGTTATAATTAAAATAAAAATTATTGCATGTTATCCACTAAAACTGCTATGATAGTAAATTTTAAATAAATCTTTTATTTTAAAGTATTTATTTATTAACTTTTGTTATGTCTTTATTATATAATAGTCCATTATTTTTTTTATAATTTTTCTAAATATTATTTTTTTCACGTTTACGAGATACAATACTTATTAATTTAATAGCTCAGTATTAGCTAGTAACTATTTACAAATAATTAGGTATCATGGTATAGTATGGTGAATTATGTTTCACTTATTAACTTGTTGAAACTTAAAATAAATGATGCTAGAGAATCATATTTAAATGTGAATTATATTTTTATATAAATTCTCTTTCAAATAGAAAGCATATTAAATAAAAGAAGTATTTTTAAAAAAATATCAAATTATAATATCGAAATTCTTTCAAGATTCATTACTCCTTAAGAGACATATAAGATTTCGCATCGAATGCATAACTTTTGATGTTTGAGTTGTAACAACGTTGCACCTAATTTGCATATTGTGATATATGTCATACTTTTTGTATTACTCATAGTTGAATTATAATTTATAAATATTTTAAATAAATTATTTATTATAATTTTGTGATTTTAATATAATTTTATAATTATTTTTTATTTTATACTATCTTAAAATTCTTGAAATTAGTAAAATTTAAAGATCCGTGAGACTTACCCCCATGTCTCAGGGCTTACGCCTCGCCTCGTCAGAGATAAAGCGCCTCGCCTCACGTCACTGCCTTTTTTTTGTTGAGAAATTGAAATATTTTATTCATATAGACTACGTAACGTCCATTACAGGATCCAGTGGATCCTTACAAAAGGATGAAAGGCCATATAAGGCATTTAGGTTGCCAAGTTTGGCAAGCTTCCTACAGTTACTTTCACTAACAAATTTATTAATAGGAGAAAAACCCTCCTTGTCCTCCAGCATCCTGGACTCAACAAAGGTAGGGGTTACAACATAAGAGACTAAATCATATTGCTTTGCTTGTTTGGCTCCTTCCTGGACTAGCAGGTGAGCAATTTCATTTCCTTCTCTAAAGCAATGCCGGATCATCAGCTCCTTGTCCTTCTGGGAGATCAATGACCTGCAGGATTGCAATACAAAGTCATAAGAGGTGTTGCCTTCCTTTAAAAGATCAATTACCTATGTTGAATCAGTTTCTATTTCACAAGGCCATATGTTGTGTTGAGAGATAAATTGTAGGCCTTTAGTCAGGGCCAGAATTTTCGCATGTGTACATTTTAGAGCTTGTATTCTTTCTTGGAATCCCATGATCCATTCTCCTGCGCTATTTCTTATGACTCCCCCCCTATTCCTATGTGATTTTGGTGGAAAGCTCCATCTATATTTAACTTGAACCAACCAGCATGGTTTATGCCGGTGAGTGTTACAAACAATATTTTTTTAGGGACAACTTTCTCTGGAGGTTAGTAGAGCAAATTCAATTGCTTGCTTGATAACGGATGAGATGAAAACATGATTAGAAGTATTTTTTTCAAGATTATTATTTCTATTTAGCCAAAGATTTCAAATGGCAAAAGAAAATAGTTGGGACCAAGTAAACTGTTTAGAGGGAATGGTTGTATTAGAACTTTTTAATTTATCCACCCATAGGTTATCCTCAGATTTAGGCCAATTAGTACTTATGTTATTGTCAATTTTTTTTAGCAATAGTACAATGAATAAAGATGTGGGGTATGTCCTCTTCGTTTTGGCGACACACAGTACATATTTTGTTTACATTCATTCCTATATGATGAAGATAGGATCTACAAGATAATCTATTGTGGTAACATTTTCATAGAAGAAATTTTAATTTGTTGACGCCCCCATTTTTTAAAATATTATTTCAGACAAAGAATAATCATAACGGATATTTTTGAGAATTTGGTTATCAGCTACACATTAAATAGTACTCCTATATAGTACATGAAATTAGAAGAATTATAAAAAAAAGTTGGTAATTTAAGAATTATAAAATTGACAGATACAACTATATTAATCCAAAGCATCATTTTCATTTTCGCCTGCGGAATATTTCTACTTGACTCATTCTCGGAAGCTACCAATTATGTCCATTTATAAGTAGCTTATTAAAAAAATTGGTCAATTCATAAAATACTACTAATATTAGCTAATTGTTATCAATATTATCCAATTAGCTATTTGTAGAAAAAAAGGTCAATTTTTTGCTTTCTTTTGAGTGGGTGTTATTAGAATAGATTGGGTATAATTTAAGGAGTTTGAATCTCAGTTATGGAATGATTTGGTGGAGTTTTAAGGTGCTTTGAATTGAAATTCGAAGTAGAAGATGAACATGAAAAAAATAATATGTATACCACATTGTGTATCATTTGTGCATCACATATGTAATATTTGTATCAAATGAGTATCACATGTATATCCATCTATACTTGTGTGTGAGATGAATACGTGATACATGTTTGATACGTATCCACAGAAGAATCTTTTAAACTCGATTTTAACTGCGAATTTTGATACCAAACTAGTTCAAATCACTTCCAATCTTTCTTAAATTTTATATATTGCCTAGTCTATATGTTATCAAAGAATTCCAACCATACCCATTGATGGACATTCATAGGATCTGCTAGGTTGTCTTACATGTCCCAAAAATTGGAAAAAATCCTTTTTCGCCCTTTTATTTTTATTTTTATATTAATGCTAATGAATTTTGACTCCAAACTAATCTAACTTGCCTTCAAACTTCACCGAATTTTGTATATTACATCATCTATGTATTTTCGATGAATCACAATAATACATATTGAAATACATCTTTTTTGCCTATGTATTTTGAATGATATATATCATTGATAATGTTTTTTGACTATTTTTTGTAGCATGATTAAAATGGTTAATTATTGGTAAATAGTATCTTTCTTTGGTACATCCCGTAAGATTCCCCTCATTCTTTCATCATTTTGATATCATCAATTTTAAGTAATAAAAAGAGGCCTCAATATTTTCATAATTATCAACAAATAATCCAGCATGTTCCATAAGGATGGCATTTTTACGGTTGCCTATTAAGGATTAATTAATTTGTTCTATATTGTTTTATCTTTTTCTCTTATCAAATGTCAATTCTACCAATTTCCCTAGCCAATTAACTCGTTTAATTCTTTCTTCAGATTAAATGTTAGAAACAGAAGGAAAAAAAGTACTCTAATAAAAATGAGGAATTAATTAATTAAAAATGTTACTGAGGATTCATAGATATGATCTCAATTTGTTTGAAATTTAGGCATAATAAAACTAATTATTGTTGTTATAGAGTTCACTTATTTTGACCCTAGAGAAACAAAAGATGTCAGATATTTTGAAACAGAATCGTAATCAAAAAGGTATTTAACAAAAAAAAAAAAAAAAAAACCTAATAGCTTGGCTGGCCAAACTTCTAAAATCAGCTTATTTTAAAAAAAAAAAAATTCTAAAAATATTTTTCAAAAAAATCCTTTTGGTAAAAAGCAATTTATATTTGATTAATCTATTTAAAAAGTACATTTGAGATGCAATTAATATTTGATCAAATGTTTAGAAATTGATTTTAAGTATATTTTTCTCAAAAAACTTGACCAAACACTTCAATTTTAAAAAGGAAGTATATACAACAACAACGACTCAATGAAATTCCAATAGTGAGGTATTGGGAGAGTAGTGTGTACGCACACCTTACCCCTACCCCAAGATCCGATAGACCCTCGGTTTAAGAAGACGAAAAGAGGCAATATATCAGTACCATCAACATAAATCATGGAAAAAATAACAGCATGACAAGAACTAGAAAATAGATGAAAAGCAAAATAATAACCAGTAGATACAGCCCGGCACTAAGCAAAACGAAAGAGTAGTGTGAACTCAACATTAACCACTAGCAATCTAAGACAAAATCCTAACAGACTAGTCTCACTCTGGATCGCCGTAGAAATATGAACAACTACCTCCTAACCTACAACCTTAATGCTCGACCTCCACGACTTCCTGTCTAGGGTCATATCCTCGGTAATCTGAAGTCACGCTATGTCCTTCCTGATCACCTCTTTCCAATATTTCTTAGATCGCCATTTACCTCCCCTCGTACCCACCAAAGTCAACCGCTCACACTTTCTTAGTGGGGCATCTGGGCTTGTTCTTTGAACGTGCCTGATCTATCTCAACCTTGCTTCCCATTCATGGGGCCACGCCCACCTTTTCCTGAATATCCGAATATCCTTATTCTTAATCTTTATCTTAGTGTGGTTGCACCTATTCCTAAAAAGGAAGTATTTATTTTATTAAATAAAAATATTTTTGGACTTGAAGAGGGTTGGCCAAACAGGTTATATAAGGGGGAGCGAGGGGAAGAGGGGAAAGAAAACAGAAGCTTTCGATTTTCAATTGAAAAAATATTAAAACCAAAAAGAATATTTTAACAGTTCCTCCCCGTGTAGAAGTTCCTTAAGAAGTGTGTCGAGTGATTCGAACCTGAAAAGCTCCGAAACTCTCCTCAAAAGCATGTAAAACGATCCAATTCCTCATTTAGTGCAAGAAACAACTTTTTGCATCTCCTAATAACATGGAAGCAATGGAAATTGATCCTGAAACTAATTCAAAAGGTGATTCTTGTTTTAACAGTAATCTTTTGCTCAATTTGTTCATTTTTTCAAAGTTTTGATTAATTGATTGAAAATAGGGAAGGATGAAGCGAAACCCATAATGGTAATCTTGATGGGTGCTCCAGGAAGTGGTAAGTCTACATTTTGTGACCTTGTAATGAGAGTCTCTACCCGCCATTGGGTTCGTATTTGCCAGGTTAGTTCTTATCTGTTAGTACTAACTAGTTTTCTTTCTTTGTATGTATGTTGCAAAAATGTGTCTATATGATGGAATGGCTGAATAGGGTCCTTTGACTATGATGTTTTACTGTCCCAAAAAGATAGTAGTAACAATTTTACTGTTGGGGTATCGAACAATTTTTCCTTTGACTATGATGTTTTATAAATATTTTAAATGTATCTGGATATAAAAAATTGTGAGCTGAACTCCCAAATGTGTAAATTTTGTTTCAATAATCTAAGAAATTATGCCTGAATTCACCAGGGAAATTTAATGAGTTGATCCTCCGCCATTCTTTTTGGGCCGAAGAGGATATATTTGCTGGTTGTTGTACAACGTGCATGCATGTTTTGATTTTCGGGAATCTACAGCTTGTTCTGTAAGAATACTGGAGTAGAAAGTTTCAAGGTGAACTAAAAGGTTGCTCTTTATATGGGTACTGGGGTAGTGACATGGTTCATTATTCAATAGATTTTGTAGGTGCTAACTTTATGGGAAATTGGCATTTGATTCAATTTCACCTGCCTTAGAGTAAGCGAGGGTACTGCCAGTTCCCCTTTACACTCCTCTTCCAAAGCCCCTCATCGCTTGTACTGGAAAAGAAAATGAAGAGTTGTTTTCTAGTTTTTCACTCTGGCCGGAGTAGCTTAGTGTTGCATTTCATGTATGCATACGACAAGTTTAGGTTTTTTGCTGGTTATTAGGATATGAAGCATGCTTATGTTTATGTTTATTCTCTACCGAACTTATCAGCACCTCGCAGATTATTAGATGTAATACTATATCAAAACATGTTATTAGAAAGATAAGTTCTCACTTTGGAAGATTGAGAAGTTCTATTTGCTATTGTAGGATACCATTGGGAATGGTAAGGCTGGGACAAAGAACCAATGCTTGGCAGGTGCAGCTAGTGCGCTAAAGGAAGGCAAAAGTGTATTTATAGATAGATGCAACTTGGATAGAGAACAGCGGGCCGATTTTGTAAAGCTTGTTGGTCCAGAAGTTGAGAAGCATGCTGTGGTACTTGATCTTCCAGCTAAGGTTTGTATTTCTCGGTCGGTTAAGAGGACGGGGCATGAAGGAAACTTGCAAGGTGGGAAGGCTGCTGCAGTTGTGAATAGGATGCTACAAAAGAAAGAGTTGCCTAAGCTGAATGAAGGATATGCTCGAATTACGGTTTGCCAAGATGAAAACAATGTTCAAGCTGCAATCAATACGTACACTGCACTTGGTCCATCAGATAAACTTCCACCAGGCTTTTTTGGGCAGAAGAACTCAGATGCCAAAGTCCAACTTGGTATAATGAAGTTCCTCAAGAAAAAGGATCCTCCTGGATATTCTGATACTGTGACGAATGTCTCTCCAGAGAATATTCAATCTCATGCCACCAAGAAAACGGACTCCAACCAAGTAGTAGAGAGCCGTGAAGAACCTAAAATGACAGCTGCTGGCAGTAACATTTCTTTAGAAAATACCCCCACACTTGCATTTCCATCTATTTCTACAGCAGATTTCCATTTCAATCTTGATAAAGCATCGGATATAATAGTTGAAAAGGTTGAAGAATATGTAAATAAGCTTGGAAATGCTAGGCTTGTCTTGGTGGATTTGTCTCAGAATTCAAAAATACTGTCCCTTGTCAAGGCTAAAGCTGCAGAGAAGAACATCGACTCCAAAAAGTTTTTTACATTTGCGGGGAATATAACTAAATTATACTCGGAAGGAGGTTTGCACTGCACCGCAATCGCTAATGCCACTAATTGGTAAATCTCTGCGCCATTATACTGTACTAGTGAAAACGAGAAAATTGATTTAACTCTGCGAGAGCCTTACCAGAAACTTCCCTTTTTCTTTCTGTTTGCATGTTCTGTGGTGGAAGCTCTGTTTAATGAAAAATGAAGTTGGTGAGGGAAAGCAAGTGGTAATACATTAATTTCATTTGAACACCACCTTTTATGGCAGCTCCAAAATTTACCTGTAAGTCAGATGTAAATGAAAGTATTCCAACATTTTCAATGAGATGAACTATTTTTTCAAGAAAAAAAAAAGGTAGTTTAATGGCATGTTAAACAAATGAGAGTAGATTTCTGCTAGAAAATCTCTCAATGAGATGAACTATTTTTTCAAGAAAAATTAATAAGTATGGCATGTTAAACAAATGGAACTATGTGTTGTCTTGTGCCTAAACTAACCTTCTTTTGCCAGAGCTGCAATGTGGAGGGAGAGATTTTCTAGCAGAAATCTACTTTCATGAATCAATGTGGTACACATGAGTGGTTTTGATGTCGACGTGTGCATGTAGAGCCATTAAATAGCAGGGTGCTAAACAATCTTGCAGATATTTCCATTTTTAGTGATGTCCAGCAGGTCCTCGATACCAATTTAGTTGTATGCTCACCCACTCGTAATATAATACTCCGTCGACACATATTCTATCTGTTTTTACTGAAGCGTGATATTATCTTGCCAAGATATTATGTGTTGTTGCTTGATTTGCTTGTCATCTAAAAGCCAACTTTTCTCAGGCGACTAAAACCAGGAGGTGGAGGTGTAAATGCTGCTATATTTAGTGCAGCTGGTCCTGCCCTTGAAACTGCAACCAAAGCTAGAATTGGATCCCTTAGTCCTGGAAAAGCTATTGTTGTCCCTCTTCCTTCATCTTCTCCCTTGTTTAGTAGGGAAGGGGTTACTCATGTCATACATGTCCTTGGACCAAATATGAATCCCCAGAGACCAAACCATCTCAACAATGACTATGTCAAGGGCTGTCAAATACTCCGGGAAGCTTACTCATCTCTTTTTGATGGTTTTGCTTCTATAGCTAGGACTCAAGGAGAACCGTCTAAGGATAATTTTGAAAAAGAACTGAAAAGAGAAGCTCAGCCAGAGCAAGGTTCTACAAATGGTGATCAGAAAGCCAAGCGGGAAGCTGTCTGTGAAGCTGACATGAACAAGAAGTACAAAAGCTTTGTGAAAGAACCTGGACCCAATGTTGGAAGTTCTGGAGATGGAAATAGTGGTGAACAGACAAGAAAGGCATGGGGCTCATGGGCTCAAGCTCTTTATGACACTGCAATGCATCCTGAGAGGCATAAGAATATAATAGAGAAGTCAGATGATGTTGTTGTACTGAATGATCTTTATCCAAAGGTAATCTTTCTCTCTCCCTGCCCCTCCCCCTCCCCCCGTTTGGCAGTTCTCCCTTGTGAATTTGACAAATATATGTATTCTCTTGCAGGCTCAGAAACACTTCTTAGTGTTGGCACGCGTTGAAGGTCTTGATCGTCTTGCAGACGTTCAGAAGGAGCACCTCACATTATTAAAGACAATGCACAGTGTTGGCTTGAAGTGGGCTGAGATGTTTTTATCTGAAAATAATTCATTGATATTCCGCCTTGGATATCATTCGGTACGTTGAACCATCTCCAATTCTTGTGCTTGCAAGAATCATAAGAGATAAGAAAAGCAGTACATAGGAGTACCATTTTTAATGTTTACGCTCTACTTTTTTTTCTTTGGGGGTGAGGGGGGTTGGGGTGGGGGGTGTTAGGGAGTGTTGGCAGGTTGGATATTTATATACTGCTTGATTACCATTTCGTATTTCCTTTATTCTATCCAGAGACAAACTATTTGCAATGCAGGTAAAACTAATGATTTACAACTTATCTTGTTTGAAATACTATAATGCCGTGGAAGCTTAGATCAGCAAAAGAAAATACGAGCCATGTTTTGTGTGCTTTACTTGCCACTAATTTTACCTTCAAGCCTGGGAAATATTGTAGGTGAAAATTTGTTCTCTCAAGGGAGTACTGCAACTTTACATAACATTTTCTCTATTAAAAAGATGTTTACGAGAGTTTGTTAAGTTTTATTACTGTGGATTAGAAGTTCACCAGTCACCAGTGCACTAAGAATCTGGTAGTTTAAATGGAATGAGGTGGTTTTGATGCATCTGGTAGTTTAAATGGAATCAGTGGTGATCATATAACAGGGGCCAAGGCGACATGTCTGAAATGGCAGAATTGTATAAACAACACTAGTTTCTATTTATATTGGTTGGTGTGGTACACACGCCGAGAGTGTGTGTTGGGGAACAGTTTATTGGGTTTGGATTTTTCAGTGGGGATTCCTCCACCTTGTTCTTTATCCAAGCCATGTCATCAATCCCCTCCTAGGCGGATTCCAAAACTTAAATTTGATGGGTTCAACCTTAATGTTCTTTCCATTGAGCTCATTGTATTTTTGAAAGTATGCCTTCAATTATTTGTTGAAATTTTAGTACATTTTCACGTATATATTTATATATTTATGCTTGCCATTGAAAATATTAGGGTTCAGCTGAACCCAGTAATTGTAATTAGGGTTCAGTTCAACCCCAACCATTTGTTTCTCTTCTTGGATCCCTTCCTCAGATAGAGTCAAAATGCTCAACTCTTTTTTCTTCTACATCTCCTATTATATATTTTGGTTAACTTTTGTGTGTAGGCTCCTTCAATGCGTCAACTGCATCTTCATGTGATAAGCCAAGACTTCGATTCAAAACATCTGAAGAATAAGAAGCACTGGAATTCATTCAACTCGCCCTTCTTCCGGGATTCAGTTGATGTAATAGATGAAGTTAGCCAAAATGGGAAGGCCACTTTGAAGGATGAGAATTTCCTTTCCATGGAGCTAAGGTGCCATCGATGTCGAAGTGCACATCCAAACATTCCTCGCCTTAAGGCACATATTAGTTCTTGTCAAGCTTCCTTTCCTGCATTTCTGCTGCAAAATGGTCGTCTAGTTTTGTTAGAAGGTAAAGATGCAGATCATTGAGTTTAGACACTAAGATTGAGCTGTGTTGTATTGAGACAGCATATGTATATACAATTTGGGGGAAAAGTTTAGGCTGTTAGGAGGATTATATGAACAATTTCAGTTGGTCTTTGTTCCTGGTGACTTGAAAATGTCCTTTAACAGCAATATTCACTTTGGATTAGAGATGGTTTAATATACGATTGATTTTGCTGTTTTCTTTATTATTTTTTTTTTTTATAAATCAGCATTGGTGACTGTTATGAACAAAGCCCAACCCAGTGTCACACAAGGAGCTATTGGGCTGAAAAGAGTTATTGGACCGAGAACAAGCAATGGGGCCGGGTTAATTTAGGATCTAGGATGAATAGTGGGTGTAAGAGCGGTTCTATTAAAAGGGTTAGTGGTTTGTGATTTTTGGTTTATGCCTATTGCTGAAGAAGAAAATGTCTGTTCCTCTCATCTCCTTGCTCTGAGTCTAAGCTTCTCATCTCCCCTTCTTTACCTCTAATCCTTATATTTCTCATTGTAATTCAGTAGTTAGTGTTGAATTATTATTCGAATCTGTAATTGAGTTCTAGTTCATGTTAACATAGCAAGGGGTTTGGCTATTTGTTACATTGGTGCTTTCATCCATCGGACTCCAATGGCAGCGATGGTACTAGATCGATTTAATGGCATCGACAACCCAGAGATGGATTTTTCGAGCTGAGTGTTACTTCACCTACCTTGGCTTCTCCTAGAAGGACTGACTACCTCTTCCTTCCTTCTACCTTGATGGTGAAGCTCTTACTTGGTTCAATTGGTTGTTCCGGAACAAGCAATTTTTCGATTGGGGGCATTTCAAAGAGAAATTTGCACATCATTTTCGACAGCAGAACGAAACATATCCGGTGAGGCGTCTCGTTGATTCCTCACAGGTTAGCTTTAACTACATTAACCATGTCCCTATAGTATCTCCCTTTCCTGCTCCAAGCCTTCTTCCGAAGTCATCAGCATTTGAATCGGCCTATGAAAATGGGAACTCGAAGGCGGACCATATGTTCGATAAATTTCCAGTGCAGTATGAAACTGTAGCTTCCTTGACATTGATTACTGGCAATATTACTGAGACTGAAAATCCTGAGGATATAGAAGCACCTCAAATTGGGAATGCACAATCAGTAGAGGTAGTGGAATTCGTACATGAACCTTCTGCCACTATTGATGATCCGGTGTTCGACGAAATTCACACGCCACAGTGAGCTCAAGCATTCATGTTCTTAATGTGATTGTCCATGAGGGAGACAACTCTGTTACTACAGCATCCAAGGTGTATGGCGATAGCTTATGCCCAAATACCAGCTTCCAAACTAAGGTACATAGTGAGGTGTTTGATGATACGATCGGATCTAATACTGGGGAGGAAGTAAATTCACGAGGTACTACTGTTGCTCAGTTATTTGACAAATCTCGTCAATGGGATACATCAGATCTTCTGGTTTTTACTAGTCGAGGAATTGTGTTGTCGAATGCGAGTGTGAGATTTGCTGTAATAGAATTTCCATTTGACGGCACACTATTGTTTGGCACAATTCCATGTTTGCGTAATTCTCTTGAAGATACTGGTGGGGTTAATCAAAATGAGGTGTCACTTTACCTTGACTTTGGCTCACACAGCTGTAATTGGGTTGATACTGGGAAGGAACGCGATCTTCCAGGATTCTTGTTGTCTAAATCTAGAGAGTGTGCTCGGGAGCAGAAAATATGGAGAAGGCTCCAAGTATTAGCCGAAAGTTAGTCCAAGCAGTCACCACATATTCGGGTCAATAAAGCTACTAGACTCTTGTTTCCTCTGTTTGGTCTAGTTCATAAATCAAGGTCTGCTTTGACGTATATTATCTTTGATCCTGATCCTTATCTTGATTATGCCAGATTGCACACCTTAGCCGTCTTCATAATAGCACACAACTATAGTGACTGCATTTGCTCTAGATGCTTGAACTACGTGACTTCACTTCATTTTGTTATAGGGACTTTTGTGACTGTTTCTTGTGCATCTATATCTGTTTAAAGCTCAAGAACTGCTTGCAAAGGATAACAATAGATTTCTTGGTCCCTATTATACATTATTTCATTTGGAACCTGATGGTAGCTTGGAGTTTGATTTGCCTATGATGCAGCTGAAAGAGCTTTTCAATGTAGACCACTTTATTGTGAGCCAGGAGCATCCACATGTTGCTTCCTTTTTGCAGATGCACGAGTTCGACAGAGCTTATGGCGGGACGTTTGTAAATGATTGTGTAGATGAATACTTGAGTGACTATAACGAGACATTTGGAGGGAAGTGCGCTACTTATATTGTTCTTGCCTCAAGCCATAAAGACAAGATCCATAAGAGTAAGAGACAACACAAGGTACTTGAATTCGTCCGCACCATACAATCTGTATGTGTTATTCTCGGTATGGACTTCTTTGGTACTGTCATTGCAATTCGCTCAAGCTTGACTGACCCAACTGCTATTCAATCACAGAGTCTATTCACTATCACATTGTCAAGTTTGGGATTTCCATTTATTCTGACTAAGAGCTTTCAAGAAGAATTTCCACATGAGGAGATGTACTGGTGGACTGTGGTTAATCAACCAAATTTTTACAAGCTATGGGGTTACATGGAACAAGTTGAGTCTGACTTAAAATCTGCCCATTTTAAGAGACGTAAGGATACAGTGAAAATGCCTAAGCATGACAATGTACCATGGAGGGAAAAATCAGATCTAGTGGATGGCAAGTATGATGATTCCACTATGTATAAATATTTGAAGGGGGTTAATATAATGAGGGAGATGTACTCCAACTTGACTTCACTCAATCTTTTAGTTGCACTGTGTTACGCTGGAGTGTAAATTGAGTATGGTGCATATTATGAAGCTGTTGTGGAGCTTAATCATGTCAACGATATTATTATCGTAATCTCCATTATGTTTTTTATTCCAGTATTGCTGTGGCCTATGGAGCTTTCACAAGAACAACAACATTTTTATTATCACAGCCATGTCCAATGCGAAGTACATTTGGCCAACACAATAAACAATTTCCATTTAACTGAGACCATGATTTTGTGGAGGTTCGCTACGGGAATATTTGCAGGGGAACTTTCATTTAGCTTACTGTTCATAGCTTCAAAAATATGGTACGCAAGGTTTATAGGTGTACTAGTCCACATAATTTTCTCAAGTTACACATCATGCCTTGGTATTGATCTAATTGGTTGGGAGCTTGTGAATATCATTGTTCTTGACTCGAACCTTGAGGACAAGGTTCTTATTCAGGACGAGGACGGGAGTATTGTTATGAATAAAGCCCAACCCAATGTCACACAAGGAGCTATTGGGCTGAAAAGAGTTATTGGGCCGAGAACAAGCAATAAGGCCGGGTTAATTTGGGATCCAGGATGAATAGTGGGTATAAGAGCGGTTCTATTAAAAGGGTTAGTGGTCTGTGATTTTTGGTTTATGCCAATTGTTGAAGAAGAAAATGTCTGTTCCTCTCATCTCCTTGCTCTGAGTCTAAGCTTCTAATTTCCCCTTCTTTATCTCTAATCCTATATTTCTCATGTTGGACTTTAAAGGCATTGGGCTTCAAAGACTTTAAGCATTGGGCATTAAAGTATAAGAGTGTGAATTGGAAATGATGGAAAATAAAATGGAGGAAAATAAAAATTTGAATGAAGTGAGCTTTTGACTTGCACTTTGTCCCTCATTGGTGAGGGACAACTACATTTGTGTGCTTATATATAGAATCACTTCTTAAAGCTCTTAAAAGGGGTTGAAGAGAATGAACCCTCGCGCCGTCGCTCGCTCGCTCGGCTTTGGCTTCGACTTCGGCTTCGGCTTCGGATTTGTCAAACGATCGATAAGATTATTTTTTGGACAAAATTTATTTAATAATTAATTAAGGGCCACTCTCGATAGGCCGCGTAAACTTCTCAGAACAAACATCACACCTCTTCCAATAATTGTCTTTCTGAAAATACTGCATTCTAATTCGCAGTCTCTCTCTCTCAAATTCGTAAGTGTGATTTTGCTCCGTTCTTTAAGTTCATTGGTATTTATTCCGTTTTATCCTGGGAGGATTTAATCCATTACCTTGGCAACGTGTGAGGGGGTTAAAATTCCTTAAGGACGCACAAGCAAATTGTGGACTCGGAATATTTCTTAATCTTTACTATTTTTCCAGTTTCTTTTATTCTTCTAACAGTTTTATGATTTTATGTTTTGACACAGTAGCAACGACATCTCATTGTAATTCAGTAGTTAGTGTTGAATTATTATCCGATTCTGTAATTGAGTTCTAGTTCATATTAATATAGTAGGGGGTTTGACTATTTGTTACAGTGACTTAAAAATGGAAAACTTTCCCATCATGTCATTAACCGAAATAGGATCCAAGATCTCAAATAAAAAAGTCGTGTCAAATTGACTGAAACTCGAGAATTTATTCACAAGCGTCATGATGGAACCAAAAATTATGGTACCAAATACAAAGTCATTAAAGTTTATGATCCATGTGAAATTGGTCAGCTGGGAGTGACTTCCACCACTCCACGTGAATCGATTGAAAAAAAAAACATATTTTCCTGGACTAGTGGAAACAACCACCGCAAATGCTATTTTTTTGGGTCAATAATAAAAGAACGCTAAGTTAATCAAACTCTGTCGTTTCCGCTTAATGTTTAAGCGGAGAAAAGTAGAGAAACGGACCGATTATTTACTGAGTTTTGTACCCAATAGCCTTTAAAGATTTCTCAATTATCAAAAATAAGTTTTTGTTATCCATGAGTATCGAAAAACTAGTAAAAATTGCGTGGGATAGTCACTTTTTAAAATTGTATTTACTTTTTATCCAGCATTTTTAATGCAGAGCAAAAATAGCCACTAATCTATTAAAATTAATATGAAAAGACGGTGTTACTCTTTCTTCTATCTCTTTTCTGTCCATGTTATATTCCTTGCCAGTCTCTCCATCTCCCTTTTCTCCTGAATTCAGTAACGGCCACACATGGCCTCCACCTCCTACATCACGTTCAAATCCCTTCAACAAACTCAACCCAAACTGTATTACTTCACTCACTGCAGTAAGCTTTCTTTAAAGTTTCACTCTTTCATACTCTCCTTTCTGCACCAACAAAATACACACTTGGAATTTTGCCCTCCATTCAAGTTAAAGCACAGGTCAGTCGGAA